TTTACGGGTATTTCGTGATGCTGTAGGGTACTATGTGGTGTTGTGTGGGTTACCTTGTGGTGTTGTGAGTGTACTTTATGAAATTATTATGTAATACAGGGGGGGAAGCAGGACCACATCGACTCCCTCACTACCTCCACCATACGCCTGCACAAGCCACTGGTGGAGCGGGTCATCCAGGTCACTGGTGGAGCGAGTCATCCAGGCCACTGGTGGAGCGGGTCATCCAGGTCACTGGTGGAGCGAGTCATCCAGGCCACTGGTGGAGCGAGTCATCCAGGCTACTGGTGGAGCGAGTCATGCAAGCCACTGGTGGAGCGAGTCATCCAGGTCACTGGTGGAGCAAGTCATCCAGGCCACTGGTGGAGCGAGTCATGCAAGCCACTGGTGGAGCGAGTCATCCAGGCCACTGGTGGAGCGAGCCATCCAGGCCACTGGTGGAGCGAGTCATCCAGGTCACTGGTGGAGCGAGTCATCCAGGCCACTGGTGGAGCGGGTCATCCAGGTCACTGGTGGAGCGAGTCATCCAGGCCATTGGTGGAGCGAGTCATCCAGGCCACTGGTGGAGCGAGTCATCCAGGCCACTGGTGGAGCGAGTCATCCAGGCCACTGGTGGAGCGAGTCATCCAGGTCACTGGTGGAGCGAGTCATCCAGGTCACTGGTGGAGCGAGTCATCCAGGTCACTGGTGGAGCGAGTCATCCAGGCCACTGGTGGAGCGGGTTATCCAGGCCACTGGTGGAGCGAGTCACCCAGGCCACTGGTGGAGCGAGTCATCCAGGCCACTGGTGGAGCGAGTCATCCAGGCCACTGGTGGAGCGGGTCATCCAGGCCACTGGTGGAGCGAGTCATCCAGGCCACTGGTGGAGCGAGTCACCCAGGCCACTGGTGGAGCGAGTCATCCAGGCCACTGGTGGAGCGAGTCATCCAGGCCACTGGTGGAGCGGGTCATCCAGGCCACTGGTGGAGCGAGTCATCCAGGCCACTGGTGGAGCGAGTCATCCAGGTCACTGGTGGAGCGGGTCATCCAGGTCACTGGTGGAGCGAGTCATCCAGGTCACTGGTGGAGCGAGTCATCCAGGCCACTGGTGGAGCGAGTCATCCAGGTCACTGGTGGAGCGAGTCATCCAGGTCACTGGTGGAGCGAGTCATCCAGGTCACTGGTGGAGCGGGTCATCCAGGTCACTGGTGGAGCGAGTCATCCAGGTCACTGGTGGAGCGAGTCATCCAGGTCACTGGTGGAGCGGGTCATCCAGGTCACTAGGAATACTTGTCGGTCCGTTAACTCGCGTGGGTTGTGTCAACAGGCAACATGTGACAACATTTGTTTACGTAAAACCTTCGTGCCAGACCTGTCTGTTCTTACATGAGCCTCACTGAGGCAGTTCATAGGGACCTGAAAGCCTCACTGTCCACATTCCTTGAATGATTTTCTTTACAGATTCCTCTTAGCTACTCTGATGACCGCCTCCTTTGCGTGTTTGTTGATGGGATTCGTTTGATAGGTGCTTCTGGAGACTGAACTGGCACTATATTTGCTACTATATCCCTTTTCTATATCCCCCTTCCTGGGCTTCCTTCCTTAATTTGTGAAACAGCCTTCTGGTCATCTCGAGCCATCATCATTCTCATTACCTTACATTTACTATTGTTGAGATCGAGCAGCCATCTCTCAGATCAGACCGGCATTCTTTCCTGACCATCCAGGGGTAGTCTGGTGTAATTTTCCTAATTCTTGTTAGTAATGGTCTGTGAACTTGTGTAAGCAGCAATATGTTGTTTCAATCACATTTCTTAAATCAATCCATGAAGCTTAAAACCGTTTATGTTTATTGGTCACAGTGGACAAAACCTATGATAGGATTTATGAGTCCAGCTCACATATGTCTGGATAACTCCCCAGGTGTAACCGCTCTCCACATATTGTAAGTTAAGATTACATGTGACTTGTGTTGCTGCAGGTACCAGTGGGTTGTGGTGACCCGGGCCGGAGAAGACTCTGAGAGTGCTGAAGAGGTCGGCACCCGGGCCAAGAGTCTGGTCCTTGGGCTACAGGACACGGTGAGACAGGTCGAGGGAACCCAGGAGGGGGCCCAGGAGGGGGCCCAGGAGGGGGCCCAGGAGGGGGCCCAAGTGGGAACCCAAGTGAAAACGAAATGCAATGCAGGGATGGAGGAGTGGATCGCTGCCAGACTTTACCAGGTGGGTGTGAGTAGTGGGTTTGAACACTTAGTGATGATTGTTTTTTTTTTTTGGGGGGGGGGGGGGTAGGAGGGGAAGCCGCTACTATGTCACACCGGATTGAATGAACTTTTGAAAAGAAGCAGCTGTGTCACACCACATTGAACGAACTCCCAAAAGGCGCAGCGGTGTCACATGTTTTAGGACTGAATTTTTCCAGAGCCTCCTTTCTGTTTGTTTCAAATCGTATCAGGTCCATTATTGGAAAATATGTTCATAGAAGTTGGTTATAGAATTCTTATGTATAAAATATACATTTTATAACTT